CTCTCTCCAAAAGCACTCTTAACAGCTGCCTCAATGTTAGCATGGGGTGAATTCACGAACTGGAAAAATAATTGGTCTTTGTTTTCTTGGCCGAAAGAGTCGCTTCCACCGTTGAGCCACCACGACGCGCCAGAATAGAAACTTTTAGCTAAATAAAGTTGATTCTACTTTTGAGAAGTGTTTTGGGGAAACGAAACGGCACCTATAGCTGTCAATATAAACACTGTTTGCACCAAGGAGCTTAGTAGCTTATATTTGTATTATTCATGTTTTGTCTAGAATTTACTCGTGCTGTGCCAACTTTCAGCCCAAGTGTCCTAACATGCTTTGTTAGTGGGTTGTGAATGAGCCAAGCTATGTAAATAAACATAGTGATATTGCAGACATGTACAAAATATTGATGCACAGCCCTTTTCTTTAGCATGACATTGTCAAGGGCTTTATTCTTGTGTTTTTTATAAAAACTGCTTGTCACTGGGCAGCAGCAGAAAACTATGCATCAAGCTTTTGCGAGATAATTCGAGAAACACCGTGTTCAGACAACAGTGCCGGTGGATATCTCTCGTAAGTTACTTTCTGTAGTCTATTCAAAATGAGTGTATTAGAATTGATGTTTTATAGCCATTCGTTTTAATATTTACACCTGAGTGTGTGTATGTATGTATGTATGTATGTATGTATGGGTGTACATATGTATGTATGTATGTATGTATGTATGTATGTATGTATGTATGTATGTATGTATGTATGTATGTATGTATGTATGTATGTATGTATGTATGTATGTATGTATGTATGTATGTATGTATGTATGTATGTATGTATGTATGTATGTATGTATGTATGTATGTATGTATGTATTTATGTATCTTTTAAATGAGAATCCGTTTATCATTGGTGAGTAAGTTTGGTAATGATTTGGCTGAATTTGTTTCTAGTTATTTCTCTTTTGAGCCATTATACATTTCAATTTGTTTTGTACTGCATAAAAATAAATGTAACCTTACACAGAATATGTGTGTTCGAAGAAGTTTCATTTACCAACCTACAGTCGGGCAAGAAACAGGGTAAAATGGAACGAACCTGCGAAGATTAGTTTCGAGCATAGCTACTCTACATGGCATATCTCGTACACATTGCGTTGGTTGAATATGTCGATTTCAACCTTTCAATTTTAATCAGAATAAGCAAGCTAACACCCGTGGTTGTATATGTGTGTGATATTTATGCATACTGTGATACCGGTTCGCAATTACAATTAAGGTCACAAACTTAGTCAAGCTGAATACACGATTTTTGTCCATGCACCTTTCATCTGCACTGAAACTGTTGTTAATAAAAAATAAACTTCAGTTTAGAAATTTATTCTAGTAGCCAAAAGCAGGGTATCTCTTTATCACACAAATCAAATTGCCATTGTTCTGTTCCATTCTGGACAATACGGGACCCTCTCAGCAGAACTCGATTAACTGCTACAGTTCATTTTAACCATTGACAGCGACATTACACTGAAGCGTGCAGCATGACAAATAGCGGGAGAGAAGACACAAACTAATCACTCTGTTTGCATCAGCTCTAACTGTCCGTGCTCTTTGGTCTTGCTGCATATGATGATGCCCACCAAATTAGCACGAAAGCGTGTCCCTACAAAGGCAGTCAAATTGGCTGCAAGCAGTTAGCTCACTGCATGTGTAGATTTTCTTCAAAACACCGTGAAGACTGATTGCTGGTCGAATATCCAAACACGTGAAAAGTAATATACCAAGTATGATATTGGTATTTCAGCACTGGACACTTTTGCGATAAGAGAGGATGGAGGAGAAAATTATGAACCCTGAATTGTTTAATTTTTGAAGGAGCACAGTACAGCGCTTTTGGGTCAAAAGGGGAGTGAAAGAAGCAAGTGCGAAAGCCTACTTCTCAAAAACTTAGTACCCGCCACCACGCATAATGTCAGGCCGGGCAACCTCTTGAAAAAAAAAAAGTGCTCAGTGATTCTGCGAATCGAACCAAGTACCTCCTAGATTGTAGTTGAGCGCTGTAACCGCTCGTCCACTGCAGCAGTGCTTGTGTTCGCCTTATTGCTGATATATCGTCATTCCTTCGAATGAAGCCAAATGCAAAAACGTCCCGTGAAACTTTGTCAAAAATAGAAAAAAATAGTTAGAATGCGTTTTCCCAAGGTTACTAGAAGATAGAAACCGCCACGTGTGATTGTATAACCGCGCGCTATTTATTCTTGTACATTACTGTCATGACGTTGGGATAGCCGGCTCTAACGTACGCTACCTTCTCATAGTTTTCCAAATATAGATAAGAAAATAAAAATATATATCGGCCTGTGACAACGCTAATCAACTATTATGAGTTCACTGTCACTAGTGTCACTTTCACTAGATGAATGCTCAGTTTTCTTTCTTTATCGTTATTTAGGAAAGTTTTGGCTCATTAACTCAACTCTCTTAATTAGCATTGATTCTCACACCTAAGGACAGTCACACTTCATCTCGCTTTCTGTGTGGCTGTCACTCTCATATAACGCGTACTCCACTTTTTTATGCTCCCGAGCATCTGACGCAGCTTTGCGGAGACTTTCCCTGACGTCTGCTGGGACAGAAAATTGTCTTTATTATCTATCAATTTCAAGCTTTCGTGAAGCCTAAACGAGAGTTTCTCTCTTCTTTCATCCTTTTCGCACGTGTGATAACGTCTCTCGACCTCAAGACTCGTATACACGTCTCTTGCTTTGCGCACTCAAACAACGCTGGGCGAAATATTTGCACCGTGTTTTGTGAAAAGCATTAGCACTGAGACACCTCCCGACGAGTCTCCCTCATTTTACGTAGACATATACCTAAGCGTAAGCGTATGCACGTTCTCGCATTCCGGCTTTATAAAAATGCTGCGGTGCATGGAACCAGCGAAATTGCGCTCACAATTTCATTTGATTACTGCTGTTATCTATTTCCGCACAATTTGTCTGCAGGCACCAAAGTCGCTCATGTGTCTTGTAATAGGAATATTGTAACAAAGGCTACCTTTGACTATAGGTACAAAACACCCTTACGTTCACCACTATACCGTGCTAGATTGCACCGAATTAGTTAAGTAGCAGCGCAGCTTCAATGAAATGTAAGGTAACTGGTCGCGTTAAATAGGGGAAGACATTCGAGGCACATTTTCAAACATTGCATGCATCGATTTATGTGTGGTTTCATTTATGTGGTACACCTGGAGTGTTGTTTACTTGTACTTGGCGAGATAGTGCATGGATTGCTCGATGACTTAAGGCCATCGAGCAATTTCGTTTTTAGCTACAGTCGTTGATGAAAGGCGAGTGCTTGGCTTTGCACAGCCCGCCAAAACGCCAATACAACGTACGCGGCATCCCGTGAGCACTGTAGCAGACGCGCGCGGAACTGAAACTTAGATGCAGCAAATCATTGGCTGTCATCGTATACTCTCGATGCTAGACGCTTTGCGTGCTACCTTGATATTATCGGCACACACTTCTTTCTTTCCTTGTCGTTTCATCAGCTAGCGTGTGTCCTCCTTGCCCTCTTAAGTGCCGAATAAGTTAAATTCATACCCGCGCTATAGTAATCCCTCCAGATAAGAGCACATTTGGCTAAGAAAATGCGTAGCCAAAGAGAAAGCTTTGTGAATTCGGCCCATGGTGTTAGTGGGTCCTGATGGGTAATGCACTTGCGATGACATGATCTAAGACTACATGATAACATGATCTAAGAGCACTCTTGTTGCATCTCAACTGAAATGCTTCATGGCACGATTCACTGGCACCTATTTTATTGTGTGGATCGTGAAGTGGGCGTCGCTTGCGGAAAGGAAAATACTGCACCATTGTTGTGGCATTTCTGCAATAAGATGCTGGCTGTCATGTTGCCATCCGCCTGAGATAGGAAAGCAACGGGTGCGAAGAACATTAAAACAGCAAGTTACTCGCATGGCAGAGATGGTGTGTGCTGGTAACGTGCTTAACATAAATGAAAGATAGGCTCGCTGCAGCTGAAGGTACAGCTCTGGAGCGGCACTGGCTTTCGCGCTTTGCAGGGCGCTGAACACTACGCGCAACAGGTGAGTAGGCATAAGACATGGGAGTGATTCAATCTCTCTGTTGTTATTTCAGTGTTTTGTGTTTTCTTTGTGCCAGTTAGGCGATTTTTGCATGACGTTTGCATCACTACAGCGCATTTCCTAATTAATAAATTAATTTAGCAGTAATGCTTATATCACAAGGAGACCAGTGCAGCGAGAGCATATATCATACAGAAAGGCAAGGAAAAAAGAATGAATATGATCACAAAAACTGCACAGCATGTACATTTGCTTCTATGATTTTCAAGAACACAGGTAAACATGAGGCGTTAGAACAGTAGGACTCAGTCGGTTCTATTGTCTTACGTTTTGGGAGAAATATGAATATTTCATGGTCATGCAAAAGTAGTACCAGTCAAAGCGTAGTTATACAACATCGCCACCAACTGGCGATGTTTTCTCCAAATATGTATACGAAGGAATGGCGTACAGATTAACTGCGTGCTCCCTTTTCAGGCTTAGCTTACACATGTTTACGCAACAGCATCCGTTGTTTTTTTCCCAACCTGTGGATGTCCTTTACTTACATCTGATCACCTTATTTCCAAGCGAGCGGGACTAATTTTCCACTTTAAGATGTGGTGTGAAGGCAACTACAGATTGCATTGCTAATCGCGTGAACACGTCAAGCAGTTCATCTTTATGCTGTGTAGCTTGTAATAAGTGAACTACCGAAAGTATCTTCGATAGGCTGCAGTTGAATATCAAGTTTTTGCGTTAAATTATTTTATTAGAAAATAAAACGTATTCTTCCTTGCTGATTTATCATTTTTAATGCTGCGCAAGTAGCCACTGTTTGAAGTCACTTATTTTCTTGATCGAATCGTATTCTAAAATTTCAATATTCACGCACTTGTTCAAACGTCAAAATGTGTGATACCAACCCAGGAGGAAGATGATGCAGATAGTGGCACGCAACTGTGCCTTGGCGAGCTCCACTTGGCTCTGAGAGCTGCGCAGCCCTGTTTGACGGCGGCAGTAGATGTTGTACACTATCAGCCAAAACACAAACGTGTTGGCCGCCAGGATCACTGCCACGGGCAGCAGGAAGCTGTAAAGCAGGGCCTCGTTCTCCAGCCAGCAGCTAAGCATCGTGACCCAAGCATAGAGAAAAGCCAGAGATAAATACACAGAACCACCAAGTTGGAGGTCGGCTTCGCGGTTTCAATTAAGATGCATAATTTTATAAGTACCAGAAATAATAGAACGCTAGGGTTTTGAAATGTGCTAGGGTTTTGAAAAGCCTTTTGAAATGTGTCATTTTCGGTGTGTTCAGATGAATTATAGGAGATGTTGTAGTCATGCCGATACTTACAAGTCTTTGCGTCTCTGATACAGTGTAGGGCTCACTATGAGGACGCACAGTATGACCAGCATTGGAGCACCTGAAAAAGAAAATGGAGGAAACTATTTCTTGTGGTGCTTTGAAGGCAGCCAGCACAAGTTACATCTAATTAGCACTGCACCTACGTTTTCTCACCCTGAATGCTGCACACCCACTAGCACCAAAAAAAGTAACTGCAACTTAGTCATTTTTATGGGCTCTTTCAAGAAAGAAATGTGGTATGTCTCAGATTCCGCTAAAATTGTGCGCTTAGAAATGAATAACGACAAGCAGAATTAATCAGTTCCTTCTAACATAAAATTAGGGGCTGCTTTTGCATTAAAGTAATTTATAGTTGCTGCAAAAAAGGCCAAAAATTCCGTGCCCACGCTAAAGGGTCAATGCAGCATGTCTAGAAAGTGTTCAGAAAGTTTATTTCCAATAGTACTATGTAGGGGTCACTACAGATAAAAAACGGCAAAAATGCAGCTTTAATGTGCCTGGGGAAACGTACATAAGACATTTTTCACACAAATATTTGGTCTATAGACGCACATGTCGTAAACAGACAATATTTAGACTAGCAAAACCAACAAAGCAGTGAGACAGAATTACTGGTAAATATCAGATATTTGCCCTTTAAACATGTAAAAGATAAAGGTATTTCTGTATGTCAAAAAGTAAACATGCTTGCGTTGGAAATTTTCAAATTGCTATACAGAAGTTTATAGCACAACTATTTAAATGTGATCACCCTATACAATTATTTAAATGTGCAGTGGTTGGGACGGATAATTGGGTATAGAGAAGTTCAGATCTAAAAAAATTTGGCAACTTTTGTTACAATCATGGCTAAATTCAATACCCTGTTTTTGATATTTGTTTAAAAATATGATACATTGAAAGCCATCGATCGGTAATTGTAAATTTGGCGTGATTGAGGAACCAACTATTTTTCGAGATTTCTGGCTCCGCGATCGCCAATTAGTTTTTTTAAACAACCGTTGCATCGGCAAAAGCTTTTAAAACTTTCATTAGAAAAGAAGAATGTGTACAATAGGTGGTACTGATAAAGGAAAGTGGCGCTGATAACTTGATGGCGAAGGAAGAATTGTGGAGCGGGATAATTGAAGGAAACGCTAGTGACGCATCGTATTGCTTATTTGAGTAACACCTGAATTCTACTCATAATGTCAGCGTATTTGTTCCCTATACAAGTGTACAAAAGTTTACACGAGTCTGCAAGAGTGCGTGATATATTTTTATTTTGAATTTGCTAGGGACAAAATGGCGGCACGGTGATAGCGCTCGCGTTGTGGAAAACAGTGATTTCGCAAAATAGTCAATATGAGCCGTCTACGTCATATTAGAGGAAAGAATGACACCTAGCGATTCATGCGTTTCTACTAGCTGAGTTTGACTTTCATCAAGAGACAAGTCAGCTGGAAGGTGGACATAGATTCAGCGTGGATTTTTAAGGAAGTAACTACTCCGCTTAAGATGCTTTCTCTCTGTTTTTGTCCCGACGAGTGCGTTAAAACCTACACAAGGGAATCTGCCGCGGTGAAGCAATGGTTCGGTTTCTCGGCTGCTGACCTGAATGTCGAGAGTTCGACACAGACCACGGCGGTCGCATTTAGATGGAGGCAAAATTCCGGTTGATTGATTGATATGTAGGGTTTAACGTTTCAAAAACCAATATATAATTATGAGAGACACCGAGGTGGTGGGCACCGGAAATTGAGACCGCCTGGGGATCTTTAACGTGCGCCCGAATCTGAGAACACGGGCCTACAACATTTCCGCCTCTATCAGAAATGCAGCCTCCGCAGTCGGGATTCGATCCCGCGAGGTATAGATCCGGTGTACTGTGCCTTCCCAATGCACGTTGAAAAACACCAGGTGGTCAAAATTTACGAAGCCTTCTACAACGGCGTTTTTTGTAATCATATCCTGGTTTCGGACGTAAAGCTGATCCCAGATAAATTTAAACGTATACAGTTGAGCATCTAAAACAGATCTGCCTAGGCAGGCTGCCATAGAATCTTGCTGAGACGCTGCATCTGCCAAGCTCTTGCGGGCAATCACTAAGTATGTCTAGTATTATTGAGCTGCGCTGTTAAGGATTAGGCTGATAAAAATTACGTCATCACGTGTCGAGACCTTAAGTGCGCGTGAAGCTACTTTGTCTATGCATCTCGTTGTCATTTCTGTGCGCGAGTGTGGCTGCACAACTTTACCAAAAACTGCCTTGCAACAATATAGCACAATTTCTAGTCATTTTTTGAACGTTTCGAACAACCACGTACGTTGGCGGCCTTCACCTAGGCCTTCAAAAGCACTCCTAACTCCTCGTAGAAGTATTCTAATAATTTCGGCCGTAGTGGCATAAATTGACGCCCCCACGGACTTTCCCTGGCCCCACGAGAACGAAACAAACAATTGTCATTCTCGGAATCTACTTATTTAACTATTCCCATGGCTGTAGCAACATTGTGGCATGCTTGTGGACCTTAAAGCCACAGCGAAGAAGCAGTTTGGCCAAAGTCGCGATTTAATTAAAAACAAAAATGAGTCTTTTTTAATACCTTGATATATATTAAAAAATAACTTAGTGTCGTATCTGTATGAGTAAAACAATTATCTCACTGTTTATCTTCTTACGTACGTTTTACTTATTTTGCTTTTAAATACTTAGCACCAAAAATATTTAACAAATTCACAGACGCAATCCTCAGCAAATTGCCTTCACTGGGCATGAGTCATGTTAGAGGTCACAATATGCTTATTGATTTTGGTTTGCGTTTACTCTACGACCTAAGTTAGCGATAGTTAAAATTTTTATTGTTTGGACTTTTTTTATGTTCACACTGCTATTTGAGCCCGAGTAGGACCTGCAGTATTTGTAAATAAAATTTAGAAAAAATTGCAGGTGACACTGGGGTGAGTCAGCGAAAAAGGCTCGGCGCCAATTATGTGGCAAAGCACCGAAGCTGTGTCAATGTCTACCACACGGCAAATTTCAGAATTCGTCTACTCTGTGAGTAGCGAGAAGAAAAGAGCCATTTTAGTCATTTACGAAACACTGAGTCTTGATGAACTAATTTGACACCTTTTTTGTTCATTCATAACTACTCTAACATAGGCTCAATGTTTGCTTGCGTGTTTTCGGAGGTCTTTATGTTTTAGCAAACACGCATGAAAAATTTGTCCAGCCAAAATAATAATCCAGTGCTAAATTAGCTAGGGTTATGAAGATTGATATATTCACACCACACCTTCACTAATCGCCCACCATATTGTGGGAGCACTAAATGAGTTCGATATTTACCTCACTGGTTGGGTGTCCTACAGGAGGAGTTTACCATCGCGTTGCAATAGCCACTGTCGCTGAACGCTTAAAAAGTTTGCTTTGTGAAGTATCAGCTTGGTTGCACAAAGGAGGAAGAAGACACGCGTCATTTCTCACATTCGTTGCATGCCTCTTAGTCTAAAGAGGAAGGGAAGAACACACTGCGTTAATGAAATACACTAAGGAAGATTTGAAGATTCGTACCGATGTGGAGAGAAAGAATAAGTGAGCAATAGACAAAAAGCGGACTGCATGTGCTCTGTAAAACAAGCATTGCCGTGCAGGTGTGGTACGTAAAGTTTTTAGCTGGGGCCGCCTCTACGTTAGCGAATCTAGAATATGAAATTCGTTAACAAGAACTTCACCTTCAAACGTGTATTTACATTGTCGAGAGTGTAAATGCATCTCAAATTCAATAATAATAATAATAATAATAATAATAATAATAATAATAATAATAATAATAATAATAATAATAATGATAATATAGTAGCGATGAATTCGCAAAGCAATGACCAGTGGAACTATTTATTAGTGCGAAGCCAGAGTGTTGTGCACGAGCTGTGAACGCTGGGCTGTTCGAGCATTTCTGTCCGCACCAGCTATACTCAAAATACTGCGGAGGGTATCGCAGTGGCAAAACGGCCAAGTTACTCTTCAGCGTGTTCTTCTACTTTCACAAAGCATCAGATAGAATGAACTTCATTTTTACTCTGTATTAAATGAGAGAGTGAAACTGCTTTTTACTTCACCGCTTTCTGTGAGAGTGAAATTCCTATATAGTATTCAGGCAAGAGAGAGTGAAACGCGGGTAAAACTCCTGCTCCTGATTACATCTAGGTGAGTCGGCACACCGCGAATGATTAGCACTACCAAATAAACACACCTACATGCACTGAAACGCACTGTACTTGCTTGTTGAGGGAGATAGCGACGATTAACCATTTTTTTTGTTTTTTATTGCGATAGTAATTATATGAACACTCTCGGCTAGATTTCGCCGCCGGTGTCGGCATCGATGTCACGCATTATCTTGCGATGGATGTCGCGGTATATGTATACGTATCTATATATGTAAAAACACAACAAAAACGGGAAAAAGACTCCTGCACGCGGAATCGAACGTGGCACTTCCGCGTCGTGAATGCAAGGCGTTAACCACTGAGCCACCGTAATTTAAACTGCAAGCTATTCTTATCTACCATTTACCGTGGTTGGCGGGCATCTCGAAAAGGGGGGAAGTATCGTGTTTTCATCATTATCAGCAAGATGGCGCAGTGAGCGCGCAGTGGCTCTCATCTCTGACGCGTACTTTGGCCCGTGTAGAAAATAAGGGTGTGTGGGCTGTACACTCGATAACGCACCCTTATCTTGCAGTGGGGAGAATCGTACGTCTTGGCTCGCCTTTGACCGTCGTCGGAATGATCCTGTTGTAGTTACCGAGCGCACAAAGGTCACTGCAATCGTTGCGCAGCCTACGTTTATGAAAACGCGCGTGCTATTGAGACACAGCAAACTTACAACTCAGACGCTTATTTGGGTTGATCCGTACCCGTGAGTACGTTTCATGCGCCATTTTTGCGTGAGAAATGCGGGGCACGTGTAGATATGTTTAGCATTCTGCGCGTGACCTTCTAATTTGCTGCTGTTGCGTTCAATGCTTCGCCTTTGCAGCAAAGCTGTGACTTTTTTGTCTTAGTGCTTGTATT